CATCCATTCATCCATCCCCATCCATCCATCCATCCATCAATCCATCCATCCATCCATCCATCCATCCATCCATCCATCCATCCATCCATCCATCCATCCATCCATCCATCCATCCATCCATTCCCCTCATCCCACCCATCCATTCTTTTTTTTTCTGTACAGGAAAGCCATTCAGTGGTTTTGACTCACTAGAAAACGCCCTTATGAAGCACGACATAGTGTTGAAGGAAGCAGCCGCAACACCTAAGTAAGCACGTTGACATTTTAAGTCCTCATTTAAGGTTTTTTAATGAAATAATTGTTTTTATAATCGTTACTTTCTTCAGGTATAGTCTTCTTGACACAGGCAAGGAGTTAGCATTAAAATGCAGTAATTTTGATTATGCTATGCAAGCCTTGTTACGACAGGCTGAAGTTCCAACTGTTCCTGTGCCGGCTGTGAGGTACGATAATGCCTTTTGAACTGTACATTCAAATCTTAATTTGTTTCTCATTTTTTTGTTTTCACTCATATCAACACTATAAGCCTGAAGCGAGATGACGTTTGACCCCTGACTCTATACCATAATAGTTTTTTAAATTATTTCATATTAAAATTTTTGATTCCTTAGAGAATACAGGAACAATAGTCATAATTAAAGAACAAAAGCAGTGTGAAAAGGATTATGGTCTAGAGACGGGGTAAAACGTCATCTTGCTTCAGGCTTATTGGACCAGACACATCAATCAAAACTGTCGTCCATGTTCCCTGTACACAATAACTCTAACTGGTACTTTATTCTAGACCCGCAGTGTTTGACAACAGGCAAGTGTGTCTACTAGTCGACACAGAAGAACCTCAGAAGGACAGATTTGTCAAAGTCGCAAGAGAGAGAGGCCTGTCAGCCAGAGTCCGAAAACTTCCCAGCGGTGACTTCTGCTGGATACTGCTGCCTCCAGATGCTGAGGAGAGAGATGTCCCTGAACAAGATTTGGTAGGTAGCTGTAAATAATAACCATACCCATACCTCCCCAGAGGGAAATGAAGTTTCTAAGGGGTGGGGAGGGTCTGAGGAGGGTATATTGTGTAGTTCCAGAAAATATCCATACCTACCCCTCACAGAGGAGTATTGGGATTTCCAAGGGGTGGTGAGTCTGAGGAGGGTATATCATGTAGTTCCAGAAAATATCCATACCTCCCCCACAGAGGGGGATTGGAATTTCCAAGGGGTGGGGAGGGTCTGAGGAGGGTATATTGTGTAGTACCAGAAAATATCCATACCTCCCCCACAGAGGGCGATTGGGATTTSCAAGGGTGGGGAGGGTCTGAGGAGGGTATATTGTGTAGTACCAGAAAATATCCATACCTCCCCCACAGAGGGCGATTGGGATTTCCAAGGGGTGGAGAGGGTCTGAGGAGGGTATATTGTGTAGTGTCAGAAAATACCCATACCTCCCCCACAGAGGGCGATTGAGATTTCCAAGGGGTGGGGAGGGTCTG